TGTGAGTCTGTGTGTCTGTGAATCTGACTTTGCAATTTGCCAGCCTCGTTCAAAGAAACTCCTATTTTAATTTGGATTGCTGCAATCTTTGCAAGTAATTTCTTGCCAAGGTGTGGGGCTTTGCGTGCTGTCATAGCTGAGCCTGCTTTACGGGCTGAATCATTGAAACCAGGCAACTGGGAGTTCTAGTTCTGCCTTAGGCTGGTTGACTTTGGGCCAATCACCAAGAGAGGAAGAATTCTAGTCTTGCCTTAAGCATGAAAGCCAGCTGGGTGACTTTAAGTCAATCACCAGGATGACTGTGAGTTCTAGCTACCTTGGGCGTGAAAGTGGACTAGGTGACTTTGGGCCAATCACCAGGAGACTGAATTGTAATTCTATCTTAGACATGAAAATGGGCTGGGTTACTTTGGGCCAATCACCAGGAGACGGTGAGTTTTAGTCCCGCCTTAGGCATGAAAGCTACCTGGGTGACTTTGGGCCAATCACTAGGCGACTGGGAGTTCTAGTCCTGCCTTAAGCACGAAAACCAGTTGAGTAACCTTGAATCAATCTCTCTCAGCCCAACCCACTTCATAGGGTAGTTGGTGTTGTGGGCTAAAGAGCAAGAGGAAGAAGGATTAGATATGTTTGCTGCTTTGAGTTACTTATAAAAATAACGAAGGCGGGATAAAATTAATAAAAACCAATTGCAAGAAGTCCATATCATTTGCTTTTCTGGAATGAATTAGCTTGGAAACCAATACTTACAATTGGTGGAGTGTTCTGCTGGTTGAACGATCACCATTTCTCATCCAAATTGCAGGCATAGTAATGTTTCTATTTAAAAAAAAAAAAAAATTCCCAGATGTCTGGTTGCTTGACCCCTCGGCTAGTCATTAAATAGTGAAATATTTTGTCTCATTTCACACAACAAGGGTGTGGCTCAGGCCAAGATTCTGCAGGATATTATATTGGCTCTGCAAGTCTTGTTTGTGGAAAGTTTCAGGTTTCTAGTCCTCCTGGAGGACAGAGAGAGAGAGAGAGAGAGAGAGAGAGAGAGAGAAAGAGAGAGAGAGAGAGAGAGAGACCAAAGCATGAGGAAACATCTAGGTTAACCGAAACGCGCTAAGGTTGTGAAATGCTAAGGACGAAGGTGGAACGTGTTATCTCCTAAAATAATTAACTGGGCGGAGTCCCCTCGCCTGCTAAATTAATTACTAGTTAACGTGTTTTATCTCGAACCTGTAAGTTCTTCACACCCTGCTGAGGACAAGCATCCTGTGAGCTTAGCCACAGGTGGACCAAAATGTGGGTGAGGGAATATTGTCGCCTTGTTTGTCTCTGTGTGTGAGAACCAGTTGCAATTCACCACAGCCTAGCAAAGCTCAGTTCCGTGGATTTCTAAAGTAGGGAAAGAAAAAAGGGGAAAGTAAAAAAAAAAACCAGAATTTTCCAGAGTGGGAGCTTTCCTTGCTGCGGCGGTAAGATTTTTTAAAAATGAAGAGGCCCTAGATTTTTTTTTTTTTTTTAATGTGTCCTTATGGCAGATTTTTCCTTGGGAAAATTGAGGTCTTGGCAGGCGGAAACTTGCTAATCTTCCCCGCTCTAAACAAACAAAGGAGGATAGCAAATAAAACCTCCAAGTTTGCAACCTCAGGGAACCCCAGGGGCTTCGTTTCTGTAACACAGAAGCCATCCGCCGACTTGCAAAGGAGCTAGCCAAGATTCACATTAACCCAGTTTAAGGATATGTGGCCATGGTGGGGTTCAAGTCATTTAACCACCGGTTCTCTGCCCTAATGATTTCTTCCAGCAACCAGTTCACCAAACTGCTCAGAAAGTTAATAAGTGGTTCTCTCGAACTGGTGTGAACCGGATGAATCCCACCACTGATCTGTGGGATTTTTTTAATCTGTCCGGGTTGAGCATCTTTTGGGGGGAACTGTTTTCACCCCCTTTTTTTTCTTTTGGTCACGGTTGTTATAAGAGAATCCCTTGCAGTTGTGAAGTAAATCGTTGCAGTCGTTTAAGTAAATCGTTGCAGTCGGCTTCCCAGGTTGAGTTTGCATGTCGGAACCAGGCTGGGGAAGGTGGCAAATGGTAATCACGTGACCCCCCAAGTTGCGGCAACCAATGCCAAGGGCCCGAATTTGGATCACGTGACTGTGGGGATGCTGCAACGGTTGTAAGTCCGAGGACCAGCCAAAAGTCTTTTTTTTTATTATTCCAGTCCTATTGTAACTCTGAAAGTTTGCTAGCCCTCCTGCATTGATCCTTCTCTGATGGCCAAAAAAGAGAGACAAACCCAATCAATCAATCAGAATAGAGCTAGAAAGGTCTAGAACAGTGATGGCAAATCTTTTTTGTCGTGGTGTGCCTAAAGCGCGCGTGCAACCGCACATGAGCGCTGGCACTCGCAATGCAATGCGCCCCCCTGCCCCTCCCTGCCGGAAGTGCCCGTTTTCAGCCTCCGGAGGGCCTCGAGAGCCCAGGGGAGGCTGTTTTCGCTCTCCGGGGGGCTTGAGGGAACCTTCTGCAGACTTGGGAGGCTGAAAAAGGGCCCGTTTGGGCACTTCCAGTATTTCCGGAAGCCCATTTTTCAGCTTCCCAAGGCTGCAGAGGCTTCCCTTGAGCCTCCAGGAGGGTGAAAACAGCCTCAAACAGGCCGAAAATCAGCTGGGAGGTGTGCGCATGCGGAGTGCTGGTAAGTTTGGCTGGGGCTTGCACGCCTGCAGTAATGGCTCAGCGTGCCACTTCCGGCAGGCGTGCTATTGGTTTGCCATCGGGGGTCTAGAATCAGGGGTGAGCTACTACCGGTTTTCACCAGTTCAGGCAAACTGGCAAAGGCTGGAAATGGGCCTGTTTCTGGCTTCCAGAGAGCCTCCGGAGCCCGGGGAGGGCAAAAATGCCCCCCACAGCCCATTTTTTTTTCTCCCAGGCTAGGGATTCAAATTTTTAACAATGGGTTCTGTGGGTGTAGCTTAGGTGGTGGGTGTGGCTTGGTGGTCATGTGAGTGGGTGGACATGGCTTGGTGGTCATGTGATTGGCTGGGTGCAGCCAACTCAATATCACTCACATCAAGGCACGCATCTCCTCACCTGGCCTCTCATGACTGTGGGGATGCTGCAACAGTCGTAAGTGTGAAACATGGTCATAAGTCCCTTTTTTCAGGGCCATTGTAACTTTGAATGGTCACTCCACACAAGCACAGTACCAGCAAAGGAGGGGAAATAAAACTCCAGAGAAGTTCCAGAGACAGGAAGTCTAGTCCTGCCAAGAATATAATAAGGGTTAACAGAGAGGCAGTTTCTGTAAGCAACACCAGAATGTTTCCTTCCTGCCTTCCTTACAGGATTAGGCTGGGAATTTCTTCTCACAACCGGTTCTCCGAACTGCTTAGAATGTTAACAACTGGTTCTAGCGAATAGGTGCGAACTGGTAGAATCCCAAACCTGGGCCACACCCACCTAGCAACTGGGCAGAGAAATGGTTGATACATTTTTTGAAGACCGCCCCTGTCTAGAATTGATATCATGTGGATGTCCACAGAACTAAGAACTGATATACTGGAGGGGGACATAGAATCAGGTGTTTGGGCAGATCCACAATTCGGTAAAAATCCAGCCCAACCCCCCCACCCCCAGGTCAAACATAACCCTGATGCAGCTCTCCATGAAATCAAGTTTGGCCCCCCTGCTGTAGACTAAACATACCCAGTTCCTGCAAACCATTCTTAGTATGTTTTGGGTCTCCAGGCCTTTAATCCTCTCAGTTGCTCTTCCTTGCACTTTTTCCAAAATCTCAGTATCTTTTTTGTGATGTGGTGACCAAAACTGGATGCAGTATTTCAGGCGAGGCCTTACTAAGGTTTTTATAAAGCAATACTTCTCTCGATTTTAATTCTGTGCCTCTCTTAATGCAGCCTAGGACTGCGTTGGCTTTTTTGGCTGCTGCTGCACACTTCTGGCTCGTGTTTAAGGGATTGTCCACTAGGACTCCAAGGTCCCCCTTACAGTCACTGTTTTTGAGCCAGGTTTCGCCTAATCTTTACTTGTACCTTTGGTTTTTCCTGCCCAGGTGTAAAACCCAGCTTTTCTCCACATTAAATGTCCTGTTGTTAGATAAGAGCCCATTGTTCAAGTCTGCCAAGATCTTTTGGGACTCTGAGCTTGTCTTCTGGGGTGTTGGCTACTCCTGCCAGCTTAGTGTCATCTGATTTGATGAGTTCCACTTCTATTCCCTCATTTAAAAGTCATTTATGAAGATACTGAAGAGTTGATTGTTCGCAGGAGAAAAAGCCAGAACAAGACAACCAAGAAAGAGATGAAAAGCTACGCCTTAACCTGGACTTGCACAAGATGCAGAGTCCCAAACTAGCTCAACTGAGGTTAAACGTGGTTAACATCTCTTCTGTAACGAGGGGACCAAAGCTGGATGCAGGATTCCAGGTGTGGTTTGTAAAATCGTGGCACGAAGGCATCCTGCCTCAAAACATTGCTCGCCTTGCACAACTTCTCCGGAGTGCCCCATTTCAGTTGCCTTGGCACCGAAGCCAAGATTCCTTAGCGTCGGATTGTTTTTATTTGGGGTTGGCTTTCTTTTTCTTTTTCTTTTTTTTTTCTTTCTTCCTTTTTTTTGGCCAGGGGTACCTCTAGTTCTGGCACCCGCATCGGTTGCATTGCTAGGATTTCAAGCCTTCGTCTGTTTGTGGTTACTAAAATTGTGCCTGGCAGGCCTGCTGTAGTGCTGTATCTCTGCATTAACCCCTCAAGGGTAGCTCAGTGCCTGTGATAGAAAGATAAATCGTGTTCTTTGGGCCCACTTTAAACCAGAGATTAGAGGTGGGGGGGGTGGCTTCTCTTTTTTGCTTCTGGCAACTGGAAGACCCAGAACAGAATTAAAAGTTCTGCTCATATTTTAAATTGCGTCACTGTTGTGCGATCCCCATGGTTGGGTCTCTTCTCTGCTTTGAGCTGCTAAAACCTGTCTGAATTCTCCCCGACGTTCCTATATCAGCAGGTAAGTGTAATCTCTCTCTCTCTCTCTCTCTCTCTCCCCACCCCCAGGGTTTAGATTAGATTAACAGAGTTGGAAGGGACTTTGTAGGTCATCTAGTCCAACCCCCACCCAAGCAGGAGACCCTACACCATTTTTTGACCAATGACAGTCCAGTCTCCTCTTGAAAGCTTCCAGCGATGAAGCTCCCACAACTTCTGAAGGCAACTTCTGTTCCATGGGTTGATTGCTCTCACAGTCAGAAAATTTCTCCCTATTTCCAGGTTGAATCTCTCTTTGTTCAGTTTTCATCCATTGTTCCTTGTCTGGCTTTCAGGTGCTTTAGAAAATAGCTTGACCCCCCATCATCCTCCCTGTGGCAGCCCCTCAAATACTGGAAGACTGCTCTCCTGTCTCCCCTGGTCCTTCTCTTCCCTAGACTAGCCAGGCCCAGTTCCTGCAACCGTTCTTCATATGCCTTAGTCTCCAGTCCCCTAATCATCCTGGTTGCTCTTCTCTGCACTCTTTCTAGAGTCTCAACATCTTTTTTATAGTGTGGTGACCAAAACTGAATGCAGTACTCTAGGTGTGGTCTCACTAAGGCTTTATAGAGTGGTACTTCCCGTGATCTTGATTGTATCCCTCTGTTAATGCAATTTAGGATTGCATTGGGTTTTTTTTTGCTGCCGCCACACACTGCTGACTCATATTTAACTGGTTGTCCACTAAGACGTAAAAAGAGTGTACTCCAGAGAGGAAGAAGTGCTGGTTCTAAAGGAAATATTAGGGAGAAAAGCTCATTACTCATTCCGCACCGAATCGGAAAGACATTCATGTCAACTTGCAAACAATGTCAAACAAGGTGCTAGTCCCTAAGAACTTTGCATATTAGATGCCTTCTATTTTTTTTCAGGAGGTCACAGCTTTTAATTCAGTGCTAATTTCTCTTATCTTTTTGCAATGAACATCATTTTGTTTGCTCATACTTCACGGTTTTATTTTCAGGGATGTCCAATTCTCTTTAGGTTGTCTGAAGTCCTTCTTTCCTACCTTTTTCGCTCCCTCCTTTTCTCTCCTTTTTTCTTCCTCCTTCCCTCCCTCCTTTCCTTCCTTCCTTCCCTCCCTCCCTCATTGTGCTTGGAAAATTGTTCTTCTCCAGGCCATTCATGGAAAAATACACCTGTGGCTCTTTAACATGCTTTCTTTCTGTTTGCACCAGGAAAATTTAGGATGATTGCCGATCCTGATTGTCGCACGGAATCAACACATTCTGCGCACACCCAAAATATGCATTGTTCTCTGTTTCGTTTGGATGCTCCCTGGAGTATGTAAACAGCCTTATGCATCTCTGGATACAGATAAAGGCTGCTATCCAGAAAATCCCCATCTGCTATTTCATAAACCTCATGCCAAAATATCATGTTGGAGTTCTTTTTTTTTTTCATGCAAATTGCCCCCCCGCAGCTGGGAATACTGCAGCCTTTATGCATAACTGATTAAAGGGAGGACTTTCCAGATGTTTTAGAACAGTATTTCTCAACTTTGGCAATGTTAAAATATGTGGACTACAACTCCCAGCATTCTCCAGCCCTGAGGAATTCTAGGAGTTGAAGTCTTCCAGTTGCCAAGCTCGGAAAACAATTGACTAACCACAATCTGTTGGAAGTTCAAATGGTCACTTTCTTTGCAAGTGAAAGACTACCTGTACAACTACAGTTAGTAACAGATTAACAGGTTAACAGAGTTGGGAGGGACCTTGTAGGTCATTTAGTCCAACCCCCTGCCCAAGCAGGAGACTCTACACCATTTCTGACAGATGGCAGTCCAGACTCTTCTTGAAAGTCTCAAGTGATGAAGCTCCCACAACTTCCGAAGGCAACTTCAGTTCCATTGGTTGATTGTTTTCACTCTCAGAAAATTTCTCCTTGTTTCCACGTTGAATCTCTCTCCTTGATCAGTTTCCATCCATTATTCCTTGTCTGGCCTTCAGGTGCTTTGGAAAATAGCTTGACTCCCTCCTCTTCTCTGGAGCAGCCCCTCAGCTATTGGAAGGCTGCTCACCTGTCTCCCCTGGTCCTTCTCTTCCCTAGACTAGCCAGGCCCAGTTCCTGCAACCGTTCATTGTATCTTTTAGCCTCCAGTCCCCTCATCATCCTGGTTGCTCTTCTCTGCACTCTTTCTAGAATCTCAACCTCTTTTTTTATAGTGTGGTGACCAAAACTAGATGCAGTACTCTAGTTGTGGTCTTACTAAGGCTTTATAGAATGGTATTAGTGCCTCCCTTGACCTTGATTGTATCCCAGAATAAAATTTTGTGACTTTGTCAAACACCTGCCTTATGATGCCGAGAGGTTCTTGCAATACGGATGGGATTCAGAGGTGTTTATAAGGACCAGCACGTTCATGTGCATTAAGTCAAGATTTGTCCCTGTTCTTCTTTTATTCCTGGCTGATTTCCTGCCTTTTCTCCCTACAGATTCCTTGTGTTTTTCTGAACTCCTATGCTTCTGAAACCAGACCTCGATTGTACCCGGTGTTTTTCGGAGAAAGCATAGAAGTCAACCCTGAGCCAGCGCAGGAAATCAGGTAACATTTACAGCTTGCTCTTCTGTCTTTCTCCATCTTCTGCAAGAAAATAAATACAATTTGCAGAATTTATGGATGGGTTTGAGGGCTGTTTTAATTGCAATTGCTTTGTGGAAATGAGGAGGGATGAGAAACGATGGCTGGACTGTGGGGTCCTTGGTGCTCTCTGAGCTTGGTGGTTTTCTTACACGTGTTTCATGACCCAACTAAATAACACCATCAGTGTTAGAAGTGAGTGTGGTTGGTGGGGAGGAGGAGGAGGAGCAGGAGGAGGAGGAGGAGGAGAAAAAGGAGGGGGAGGAGAAGGAGGAGGAGGAGGAGGACTGTGGGGTCCTTGATGCTCTCTGAGCTTGGATGTTTTCTTACAAATGTTTCATGACCCAGCTAGGTAACATCGTCAGTACTAAAAGGGAGTGGGATTGGTTGTCTGTTTATATACAAGCAACAAACAATAACCCAATCAAGGAACTACCAAGAAGAAAACAACAATCCCACCAATACTGACAGGGCAAATAACTGGTATGTAAACAGAGGACACTCCCTCCTAGCACTGATGATGTTACCTAGTTGGGTCATGAAACATCTGCAAGAAAACCGCCAAGCTTGGAGATTGCCAGGGACCATTTAATCCTCATCCTCATCCTCCTTCCCCTCCTCCTTGCACTGATGATATTACCTAGTTGAATCATGCAAGGTCAGAGAACTCCAAGGACCCCGCAGTCCTCCTCCTCCTCCTTCCAAACCCCACTCCTTCTAACACCGATGATGTTACCTACTTGGGTCATGAAATGTCTGCAAGAAAACCACCCAGCCACAGTTCATCCCTGAGTGGCAATTATTCTCTTCCGTTGCTCGCAAATGAAAAGAGCCCAGCTGGGAGATAAAAGGTGGGAAGCGCTTACATCTTGCATTGCGTTTATCTCTGATCGGAAGCCAAAAAATTTGGCCTTGAATTCTGTGCATCAAAATGGCCATAGAGATAAATGAGCTTGCAGCTTGACGCCTCCCCGCTTAAGTCAAATTATCTCCCACGCCTAAACATTCCCCCAAAGGAGTCGCCGCCAAAGGTGTAGGGATGGGCTGAAAATATCCCAGCCACATTTTGCAGGGCGGTGTAGCTGCTAACTCGCTGGGAACTTATCTGAAAGATAAATCTGTGAAGAGGCTGCCAACTGGGCTTTTTTTATTTTTATTATTATTATTATTATTATTATTATTATTATTATTATTATTATTATTATTATTTGTTGTTGTTGTTGTTGTTATTATTCCTCCCCCCCAATTGTCTCCTCCAATTGGTGTTTTCTTCACCAATTTCTCTGCAGGGCTCTGAACTGAGCTGCAAAATTCATTAAACAGATTGTGTTTCTCCTACTCTGCTCCGGGCCAAGCCTGGTTGAGGGCGTTGGCAAATCCTAAACACCACGCCTGGCATTTAATCTTTTTATACCAGGGCTGCAGTTGCTTCAGCTACTGAGAGAGAGAGAGAGAGAGAGAGAGAGAGAGAGAGAGAGAGAGAGAGAGAGAGAGAGAGAGAAACAGACAGAGAGAGAGACAGAGAGACACGGAAGCAGCAAATTGCCCACAGCCAAGACAAGAGCTGTTTTTCTTAGAGCAGAAAAGCTTGCTATTTCAGAGGTTTTGCCAAAAACTGTCAAAAGCGCCGTTGGCCAGCCTGCTAATCCTGGAATTCTCGAATTGGAAGAGGCCTTTGAGGTCATCAAGTCCAACCCATTGGTGTAGGCGAGGGCGATCAACCAATGGAACAGAAGTTGCCTTCAGAAGTTGTGGGAGCTTCATCGTTGGAAGCTTTCCAGAAGAGACTGGACTGCCCACCTGTCACAAATGGTGTAGGGTCTCCTGCTTGGGTGGGAGGGTTGGACTAGATGACCTACATGGTCCCTTCCAACTCTGTTAATCTGTTAAAAATGTCTTCTGGTTAGGGTTTAGAAATGGGTTAGTCCAATGTTTTCCAATCTTGGCAACTTTAAGATGGATGGACGTCAACTCCCAGAATGCCCCAGCCATGGGGAATTTGGGGAGTTGAAGTCCACCCTCTTCACCTCCCCAAAAGTTTGAAAGCCATGGTTGAGAAACAGTGGTTTAGACAATTTTCCAGAATATTTCTGTGGATAAACAGGATGTCATGATTCCAGCGATTGCCCTAATTAAATCATGATTTAATTTCCTCTCCCCCCGCCCATGTTTATGGCAACCGTAACACAGGCATAGGAATGCTTTACAAGTTGACATTCGGCTCCCCTCACTTCTTGAAGGTGTCCTGTAGCGAGTTGACACAGGATAGAAGACCAAGCAAAAATAACAGACCTTCAGAAGTCTTTCAGTATGCTCTGTCCCATAGTTCGACAGACCAGGTTGCCCTGATAGACCAGTCTCACCAGAAAAAAAACACATAATCTTTCCCATGGTATAACTGACAAAGCAAGGAGAGCCCGTGGCTTAGAGGTTAACACATTGACCTAATATGCAAGTAGCCCAGGTTCGAATCCCAGAAGTGTATGGCTAGCTGACGAGAGCTAAATAGCTTGAAATAGATCTATACAAGTCTCCCTTTATTTCTTTTGTCGGTAAATATCAGTTCAACACAAAAATAGTTTCTAGTGAAAGCGACTGCCTGCGAAGGCTCCTGGATCGGGTCTGAAAGGCAAAAGTGGAAGCAGTTACGCTCCGTCCCATATTTGGATAGACCAGGTTGCCCTATTGTGGTTTGCTGGCAGCAGGTATGGATGGCTGAAGTCTCAGAGAGCGAGGACTCGGACGAGGGACCTGCGTGTGAGGCAGGGATGGGGCCAGGACCATCAGGGAGTGGAAGGCTGGCTTTGGAGATGTTGGAGGCTGGCAGCAGTGATGAAGAGGTCCCCGAGGAGCCTGTGCCCAGTGCTCATGCACGCAGGGCTGCTGGAAGGAAAGAGCAGCTGCAGCAGCACGGGCGACTCGGGAGTAAGGCTGCCCCTCCCTGAGAAGATAAAAGCCAGCTGAGAAACCGCAATTCTTTGCAGAAGGCAAAGAAGTTTGATACTCGAGCCTGGTGGACGTTAGAATATCTGAGTTGGTGTTTGGAGACTCTTTGATTTATTGTTTAGGAACTTTATCTGGTATTCTTGGCAGATTTGCAAAAACTTGCCAAAGCTTTTCCTTATCGGAGCTAATTATAGTTGGAAGCAGCCTTTTATCTGTGAAGAAACAGGATTCGTAAACGAAACAGCAAAAGGTTGTGCTGGTACCTTTGTCTTGTGTTTACTCTTGTGGAACCAGGTTTGGGTCAGAACATGACCTGATAGACTGGTCTCACCGGAAAAAAACATTTAGTCCTTCAGAAAAAATGGGATTAGCTGTTCCAAGCCAGAGAAGTTTAGTCGCGTGGCCCACCTTGAGAGCAGGCAGACGACTGAAGAGACCCTCAGAAAGTTGAGTTTGGAGGGAAATTTGAGGGTTGATTCAGCGGACAAAATTCAATGAAAAGCATTTATCCTCATCCCCAGAGGTCTCGGGGGTACTTTCCCAAAAGGCAACTGAACATCCTTGGGTATTTTTTCCTTGAAGACGTTTCGCTTCTCATCCCAGATGCTTCTTCAGTTCTAATGAATGATAGGGATCCTTCGGTTAGAATGGAAGAAGCTTCTTGGATGAGAAGTGAAACCTTTTCAAGAGGAAAAAAAAAAAAACCAGAAAGGAAGTCCAGTTGACTTTTGGAAAAGCGCCTTTGGGACAACCAGGACCTGCGTGATAGAGAATCTCCGTAGACTTCACCGGGACTCTTCTAGTCAAGCTCTTCTCCAAAGCCCCAGAAGGCAGGAGAAGAAGCCATGGGTGGAAACTAATCCAGGAGAGAAGCCAACTTAGAACTAAGGAGAAATTTCCTGACAGGGAGAATGATTAACCAGTGGAACAACTTGCCTCCAGAAGCTGTGGGTGCTCCAACAGCGAAAGATTTTAAGAAGAGATTGGACAACTGTTTGTCTGAAATGGTTGCAGGGTTTCCTGCCTGAGCAGAGGGTTGAACTAGAAGACCTCCAAGGTCCCTTCCAACTCTGTTACTCTATTCTATACTCTATAGAATAATAGAATTCTATCCTATCCTATTCTCATTTCATTTTCTATTCTATTCTATTCTCATTTCATTCTCTAATTCTCTGTTCGATTTCTATTCTATTCTGTTCTGTTCTGTTCTATTCTATTCTGCATTCTATTCTGCATTCTATTCTATTTGTATTTATTTCTATTTCTATTCTAATTAATTCTATTCTATCCCATCCCCGATTCTATTCTATTCTATTCTATTCTATTCTATTCTATTCTATTCTAT